CAGATTAAACTGGTAAGTTGTTTACATGTATCTGTATGGCGTGGAGTAAAGCAAAGACATACATGCTCTTGAAATTGGACAATAAGTAGGTTGGCCTATGTGATTTCCTCATATGCACAGGCTTACTGATGCAACAGTGGATATTTTGCTTTCAGGAGGGCCGTGACAAGCAGTTCTTGGTGAAGCAGATTGAAATGCTGAGTCGACGACAGCAGATACTAAAACAGACAGCAGGAGCATCTAGCTGAACATAGCGTATGAACCATGTTTAGGTTTAACTAACTGCTTAACATGAGAAAACATGATGAGGCACCTGCAAGGAATGTATGAACCCTGTATACATGCTAAAAACAAAAGTTCACTCCTTGAAACAACTTTCATTTTGATTTGAAAAGCGTCTAACAAGTGACATGTAATAGTAATATCTGGAAAAGTGCGATGTCATTTATTGGCATGCAGTTGACGTACATAAATAGTAGTAGATACAACTATTATGTGTAAATGATGTATAAAATAAAATACAAATTTGTGGTAGACAATAATGTAAATATCTGAACTGAATGTAAACAAGAATGTTGTAGATGTATATGCATAATGAGTAGTAGTAAATATGAACAATTTGTTAAAGTAAGTAAAATATACAAAGGTAAAGTGACAATAAGCAGTGTATGTTTAAGCTACATAAAGCCGGGTATAAATGAAAAGAGTGTGTTTGTTGTTATAAATGCAAATGTTCATCACTTTTTTGTATCATGCAAACAGTTAACTGTATGTGTTTTTGTTCCTTTCTCACTTAAATCAGAATAAAATAGGAAGGAGGAATTATAGCCCCATCTAGTGCCACATGTGTGTGTGCCGTTTCAACAAGGTGTAATGTTTACTTCCTGTTTGGGTCTACTTGTTCCTGTGGGCTACAGCTGGCAGCTAGCAAGAGCAACTCTCCTCCCTGCCAAATAGTAACAGTGTTATTTACCTGTCTGTTTATGTTAAATTGTTCCAACGACTAGGTACTTTTGAGTAAGAGAGTTCTCTGCTCGCTGCTGTTCCGTTAAATATAAACTGTAACGCTACATGAAAAGTAGCACCTTGGCTACCGTTAGCTTAGTTGCAAAAAGCCAAATCAACGACGCCAACTGTGGAATATCTATTTTTTGCTGGCTTTATTTGGCTAATTTTTAGCCCTGCTTACTTCCCTTCTTCCTCTAGATACAACCGTAATGGTTTTATGAACACATTGAGTGTTTTGGACGTGCTTATTACCACTTCAATCGGAGCTAGCCTGCTACGCTAGCTTGCTTGCTATCTGCTTTGGTACATTAAAGACAGTCAGTCACCAAGGCAACAATGAACATCCTCCCGAAGAAAAGCTGGCACGTTCGAAACAAGGACAACGTCGCTCGCGTGCGGAAGGACGAGGCCCAGGCAGCAGAGGAGGAGCGCGAGGCCAAGCGTCGCGTGGAGCGTGCTGAGCAAGAGGTGACCCCATGCATATATCAAGACACCCTGGTGTTTGGTACTTCCTGTCATGATGCTGCTAAAGAGCTGACGAGTAGTTACTTACTGTGGTGACCTCAGAGCTGAGCCTCAGTGTGACACAAACAGTGACTGAGCTCTACAAAAGTGCACCTCTAACAAACCTCTTTGTGTGTCCTAATTTATGTCAAATGAAATTAAGTCATCCTTACCACTTTATAGGTCAATAAGGTTTGCTGGTTAAGCTATTCACAGAATTTCCCCTCACGTAAGCCCCTTTTAAACTTGTTTTATTAATGAAGATAGAAGTACTAGACAGGGCTTCAACATATATTCATTAGTAGACTTACAATTGAAACACAGATGTACCCAGTTCTTCCTTCCTGGTGTTCTTCGTTTACCACGAAAAACACACCGTATTGCTTGTTAAATTTAAAAGAATTTTGAGGAAACTATTTTCATTTTACTTTTAAGGGGCAATTTTCATTTTAACATTGAACTGAACAGAAAAGGCTACAATCAAAAAGTAAATGTGCAGTTTTCTACTTCTTTTAGTGACTTTAAACTGTGCCTTTAAAAATCAATACCAGGCTTGTAGTAAACTTAGTCATCATATCATCTTTTTATTTAATATGCGTAATCATCGTAATATTAATATGCAGCCTCACTGTTGTGATGCAGAATTTGTACAGTAACTTTATAAAATACCACAAACAATAAGGATGAAAACGCCTTCATGGTTGAAGCTTCAGTTACAGCAAACAGTGAAATATGACGATGCATTATAAAGAAGCCTTGATTGTTTTTTAATATTTTGAGTCCGGATGTAGAATAACAACTCTTCTTCTCCTCAGGCTCGTACTGAGTATCTGAGAAACAAATCCCGAGCGGCTCTCTCTTCAGCGGGAGAGACGAAGGCAGATGAAGATGAGGATGTACCCAGCGGAGGAAGTGGAATCTTGGAGCATCTTAATCTTTTTCCCCTGGAGGATTCGTCGGAGAAGAAGGGGAATGTTGAATATCTCAAAGATAAGAAAGATGAACAGGTAACTGCTACTTTTTCTGTTGCTCTCACACGTCACAATGTTTGATGTAAGTTTAGCTTAAGGAAAAGTGAATCATTTTACAAGTCTTTCCCTTCTTTACATTTACAATACAATAAATCTTCTTTTGGCATCTTTTCACAACAAACTTTGATTTCTTCTGGTTTTCTTTGTTTTTTAAATTTTTACAGGAGAAGCAGGAACGCGCCATCGGCTTGCTGGTATCTCTGGGACCCCAACCAGGGACTGAGGTCACTCCGTGGTACATGAAAACCGCCAAAGAAAAAGAAGAAGAGAAAGAAAAAGAAAAAGAACAGAAGAAAGATAAAGAAAAGAAAAAGGGACTGAGTGAAGAGGAGAAAGAAAAGAGAGATCGCAGATTGAAAGACAGTTTAGATCCGTTGAAAGATATGAAGAAAGCACTGGCTGTGAAGGACAGAAAACACAACAAAAACAACAAGAAAAATGAAAGGAGAGACAAAGGGGACAGGAGGAGCAGTGGAGAGAGGTAAGAAGATAAATTACTCTTGTCGCTCATATTTGTATTATATTATTACTAATATTTAATAGTGGAGCATCTGATATCATTTAGAAGATTGATTTCAGACCAGCATCTCAGAATGGTCATAGACATAGTCTGCATGATTTTTCAGTTTTTGCAGTTTAGTTCTTCAGTTTTACAGGGATAGTTTAACGTTGCGGATATTCCACTTATTTGCTTACTTTGTGAGATCTAAATGACAAGATTGATACCGCTCTCATGACTGTACCATGAACTACGCTGAATATTTAGCTTAATCTAGCAGTTAGCTTAGCTTAAAAACTGGAATCAAGCGAAACTGCTAGCCTGGCTTTGTACAGGGAGACAGTTTCCCTAAAAATGAATTAGTTTGTATGGTTGTAAATGTCATGAAATGAATAAAATGTGATGATGTTGTAAATCTCCCTATGGAGAGACATAAAACATTTGTATACCCTGTATTTTGCAGCTCCATAGAAAGGTTGCGTGCTGAGCGTTTACAGAGGGAGGCTGAAGAAAGGAGGAGAACCCAGGCGCTGCTCGACCAGAGGAACGGCAAAAGGAAGGAGCCGGGGAGGGAGACGATGGAGAGAGAGATGCCGTACAACAGTGCATACTTCCCTGAACTGGCCAGAAAGCGTCAAAGGCGAGATCGAGATAGCTGGAGAGACGAAATATTAAAATCATGAACTATCTTTATTGGTCGTCTAAGGAGTGCGAACTGTGATGGATGGTTAGTGGAGTAATGTGACCAGTATGTTTTTCCAAATGATGAAATTGTCAAAAGTTATGTCATGTTTTTGCATGCCTCCACAGTAAATAAGAAATTACAAAAACAGAGAATAGTCTGGATGAATTGAACTAAATGAGGGTCGAGGTAAAGTATATCAAAATATGTTTTTTATCAAAACTCAAACAACTCTTGCAGTATAACCGTGTTTATCCACTAGTATACTCAAACACCTCACAGTTAAATCTCTTCCATCTAAACAGTATCATGTTTGCAAAAGAGTGTTAATGTGATACGGTTTAGGTTTTTGTGAAAATACATTGTTGTTAGATGTGGTCCTCATTAATTTCAAATGATCAAGAATTGTCACTGTATTTGGATTCTTTGTTCACTGTGGAGGTGTGTAAACAATTTAAGAACAAACCTATAACCTTGTATTTGTATTGCCAGTAAGCTAACGAAGAGGCCATTTCGAGGCCAATTTGTATTTATTATTGTTCACCCAGAAAATCCGAGGTCAGGTTCGGTTACAGTTACCTTTCTCCCCTGCAGCGTTTCACTCATGATCCCGACAGCAGGGCAGATGGTTGTCCTCACAGGGGGCTTACAGCACAGCTCTTGGCAAAGAAAACACAGCGGACAACTGTTAAAAATATGTATACTGTTGCTAACATTAAAGATGTTGTAAGATATTCCAAAATCAGCACAAACTGAATAAACTGGTCTATTGGTGAATAACTTAAACTGTTAAATTGACATTTGTATCTGTTTTCAGACCAAATATTCATCAGATTAAGTAATTATTAAACATACTTTTTAGACAGCTCTATGTGAGATCATATAGCACATATCGGTACAGATAAAATAAATTGTTTAGCATTTCATAACTCAGTAAAAACATTTTTTTCATTTTCTGGATTTAATGCAGTCTTATGTTTGTGCAATAGCAAATAAAAACAAAAAAAGAAAGAAGAGGTGCAGTCAATTGTATTATTAAAATCATTATTGTTATTATTTATGAGTAATAGACAAAGCAAGTGGCACCCCAAAGACCTCATATGAATACTGAAGTGATATTTAAAAGATAAAAAATTCAATATGCAATCAATAAAACCCCACTACATACACACACACACACACACACACACACACACAACATTGCCTCCCAGTGGGAATATTATCACAGATGTATTTTCTTCTCTGGGTATGGAGCTGGACCATGACAATGCGCGCCGTGTGTGTCTGACGTAGGCTGGCGGAGGAGAAAAACACAGACACCCCTCCACCACTGAAGCAAAGGGGGGAGAAAGACATGTTATATATACGCGTGTGTTTGTAACGGGTGGTTGTTTTCAGCAGAGATGCGCGGAGTAACGTGGACCGAGGATGCACAATAGAGCACCGTGTTTAATTGCGGATTAAAGCAGGGGGGAGGAGGCGAGAGAAGAAGAAAAGGAGGGGGGAGAGCACAACAAGGAAGGCAAGGAGACGCTTCTTTATTATTAGGAGAAAAGAGGGGGGGAGACACACAGACAGCGTGAGCCCGGAGACGGTACAGACCGTGGCGGGGGAGAGGAGGACACCGACAGCCGGCAGCGTCGCTCGGATGGTGTTGTTGCTCCGGACGCGGCGACGATGCGGCCACACTGCTGGGTGATGGTGGCGCTGGCGGGGACCATGTCGTACCTTAGCCCGGAGAGAGCCCTCGGAGCCCCGCAGAGGGAAGGTGAGCGGAGGAGAGAAGGAGGACAGGAGAAGGAGGAGGAGGAGGGGGATTGAAAACCTGTCAGGGATGCTGGAGAAAGGAGCAGAGAGGGGGGATGTAGTCAGTAATCAAAAGGCCTCTCTACTGGCTGTGTTATCAGTGAGACATAATGAGAATTATTATTGCAGTGTACGTGGCTGGCTTAATCAAAACAGGAGCGAGCCTGGTTTGGTGATGGGTAGGGTACCATATTTGCATGCAGGGATGAAAATATTAGGGGGGGGGGGGGGGGGGGGGGGGGTGTTTCGATGTCGGGCCTCACATCGATGCCATTTAAAAACAGCATATTCTGTATGAATAGCAGGCCAAAAACGTCGGTCAGTGCGATATATTTAGTCTATAAATAGCCTCTGCTTTGCACCGGAGATTATTTAGCCTATTACCTACTGTTGGCATGTTTATTTTCTCTATCTGAATATGCCTTCTTCCCCCCAAGATCAGGCAGTGTGTTGTGTTTGTGTAATGTGTGCAGTCATTGTGTTGTGGTGTATTGTTTTGATAAGAGCTCCTGGCACCGGGGCTGGTGGAAAAGGCCCCTTGTTAGGTTCCTATTTATATGCAGTGTCTGGACATCTGTCTAGGGAAAGATGAAAGAATAGCCCTGCACAGGAATTGTGCATCATCAGGATTGGAGCCATCACTTATGTTTGTGGTGCATGTTTATGGGGCCACACTACCCAAAGGGGTCTTTCAGTTTTCCTAGCCCCTGTTTTGCATGTACAATGATCACAAATTAGCTGTGGAATCCAGAGTATAACATTTATTTGAATTTGCATCAGATTTGATCATTGATGAGCCCACACTTTGGTACGAATGTGGTTTTATATTCTGGTCACATCTTTACTCACTGTTGCGCAGGATGTGTAAAACAAGTACAATCCTTTTATGTTGCAACTTTTCTGTGAACAAGAAAAAGACAAAAAAACAAGATAAAAGTGTTACTTGAAATGCGGCCCACAAATGTATCTTGGGGAAAAAACGCATCACTTGTGTTTTTAGTAGAATGCTGATCCTCTTGTTACAATATTTATTAAGTTGGTTAATTATTAATTATACTTTGACATTTATGTATGCAGTGTTTACAATATCCAGACCTTGTGAATGAATCTATTTTTGGATTTCTGTGAGTGACATGGAGAATGAATTTGGGATATTTTAAGACAGTGCAGTGACTTATAAAACATTAGCCAAGTCATACATTTCAAGAAAAGATTTCAAAATTGTAACCCCATGAATTATATATTCTTTTACCTAAAATAGGTTTTAATTTCACATGCGTATAGTTATTTTAGATAATATTAGTAATAGAGCTTTTTGTTTGGATAACAACAATTAAAAATACAAATTACAAATAAAGTAATTTATTGTAATATCAGTGAATACAGTTCTAAAAGTTTGTTCGGAGAGTACAGGGGTTCAAATGTCCTAATAACTGCCTTGCTAATATTATGTCATTTAATGTCTAAAATGCTGCTTTGTTTACACAGAAAAGATAGGCTGAGGTATGGTTTGAATATTAATGTTTATAATGTGTCCTTCCATGTGTTAAGCGTGAGTTGGACAGCTTCTGACTGTTTCAAGGTTACATTGTTCCTCTACTGATATAATGTTTGACGTATTTTGGCTACAGTATTAATATGGAAACTATAGACAATACCTGAAGGGTATTTAACCACCCTGCCCTGCCCCTTTTCTTTTCTACAGATGGTTCACTTCTCTCAATCAACCACGTTGAGGTACAAATATCAAAATGTCCCGATCCCTCCCTCTCTTACCTGAGTAGTAAACCTTCCTAATTTCAGTAATTTTCTTCCAGTTTCCAACCCTTCCCAATTAGCGCTCCTTTTTACCTAAATGACAACCAGCCACCCCTCCCTGCTTCTTAACTGTGTTTCCTGAGTGGAATGCCATTTCTGATATTTCCCTTTTCCCCCGTGCTTTTTTTCCTTACTGGAATGGTATATTATCCCACTTTCAAACTTTAACTCCAGTCTCTATTTTCTTTTACTGATGCAGACGATTCGTTTTTTATCCTCAACTTAGTTTGTTTTCCTGCTTTCTCCCTCCAAATCCCTAAAGCAAGCTGTCCATTGGGGTTCTCCACTGTTTCCCCAAACCTGCCACTAAGAAACGCTCCAATGGTTTCCCTCTTAACAAAACACCTGTGTACCAAGATTTTACACCTTTCTGATTCAGTGAATTCTCTCTTTCCTTCTCACTGACTCAGACCTAACAATCTGCCACCCATATATTTCTGTGTTAAATCCTTTCCTCTCTTGTATGTTCTTCCTTTCTCTCACTCAGTTTCTCAGACCAGGGCTGCCTCCCTCTCTCCTCCTCCCTACGTCGTCATCCTCATCTCTTGCTCGGGGCTCGTCTCTTTTGTCCTGCTGCTCCTGACCTGCCTGTGCTGTAAGAAAGGAGGAGTGGGGTTCAATGTAAGTCTTCAACATGTAAGAGATCTATTCACCCTTCTCTGCTTTCTTTTTTCACACACCTTTTATGCATGCTGGCATGTATTTTTCTTTCATTTAAGCTTGGCTTGATTAACTGAGGGAGGATTTGACATGGAAGTCAATATTTCCAACTTAATGAAGCAGAAATTGTCAATAATCATCCCAGTCTAATCTTAACTAAGCCTCCATCCTTTGAGCTGACAGTGTTGTTGAGCAGGCAGACAGGGTGTCATTAGTTCAGAGTGGCTGCTTTCTCATTGTCTGCCTCGCTCAATCCAGACATATTATCAAGTGACACTGCAGTTTATTTTATATTTTAACCAGTATTGTGATTTCCTTATGCTGCTGTGCCACCACCAGGAGTTTGACAATGCAGACGGAGAGGAGATCTCTGGAGGCTCCAGTCCCATCCAGGAGGACAGCCTGTCGTCATGTCCCTCCCTCCCTGAGGTCTACACCTTGCCGGTCAGAGACAAGCCCACCTGCCCCGCCCTGCAGGATGGAGCAGGTAACAACCTAAACAAAAACAACTCTCCTGTTTTCTGACTCTTATTTGAGCACACAAAACCCCAAAAATGAAGCTGGAGAAATATCCTGCACTGAACTCCCTCACGGTCTGTTGCCTGAATCACTGATGTGGATCCATTAAAGGTCTCAAACCGAGAGGGGAGTCCAGTTGCATTGGACTCCCCTCTGCAGTTCAATGGAGTGGAAACTCTGATCTGAGAAAATTCTGCACCAGTGCTCTGTGCAGGCCGGCCACGTTGGACATTTGGCCTCAGATAGGGATGGTGCGAGCTAGTCACGATATTCACCAGACCATTGATCATGGCCAAAATCAATTCACACTAAATTATCAAAATATATATTAAAAGAACAATTACACAAATTGAAATTGAACCTGATGAACTCCTAATAAAAGAAAGTCCATAAGGCCTCAAGAAAGAAAAGTAAATGGTTGAAGATGTGCTGATATCAGCATATGTGTTGACATCAGTGGTCACGTCTGGCCCACCCACAGCCAATCAGCGCGTCATAGCGATTTTGACGTTCCTGACAAGCGGCAAACTCTGGGGCAGAGCCGGGAAGCGCAGAAGGAAGTGCCACAAACTGCAGTTCATCTAGTGGCCGACATGGTATGGATGCAGAAAGGAGCCATTTCCATAGACCCCCATGTTAAAATGCCCAACTTTACAGCAGAAATAAACATGTTTCTAGCCTGGATCCAATAAAACTTATTCTGGATATAGTTAGATTCCACCTTCATGACAATGGAATAGGGAGTGCATTTTTTTACCGTGAAGTAAATTAGTAAGTAAAGTAAGTTTTGCCGTGAGTGAATGAAAGTCTTATTTCTTCTTGAGGTCTGCAGTGAAGCATGTACACATTTGCTGAATATGAAAACACTCTCAGCGTGTGCCCACTGTGCGACTGTCAAGGATAAACAACCTGTGGCCTCCGAGCCAGTCATGTGGATGTCAGTTTTACACACATTCTGAGGCCGCCGTGCCTATGTTTTTGTTTTCACTGCTAATTTATGCTTATGCTTATGTTTAATTAGTGCATTAAAAAATAAATAAAATCATTAATGAAGTTTCAGCTCAGACCCCACGCTTAATAAGTCTCCCCCTGGCCCACCTACATTTCTCCAGGCCCACCCACACAATAATCCCTGGCTACGCCACTGGTTGACATGACATAAATTATTTATATATCATAAATATGTATTTGGTGTATCGTGACGCCCCTATCAGCACACCTTATTAATTTTGTTGCAGCAATGTTTTTTTGTCATTCTGATACTTTGCTGTGTAGAATAATGTGTGCCCACGAGAAGCCATTTTTAATTATATTTGCTGAACGTTTATCTGTGCTGAACTAAATACAAGTCTCCCTCTTAGTATTACATCATGATTTTGTTATATCACACCACGTTTGGAAGCCTTTTGTGGTTCAATATACAAGTTACTTAAAAATGATGTGGAAACATCAGAATCAGAAACAGTTTTATAACCAAATAGGTTTATACATACAAGGAATTTGCTTTGGTATAAGTGGTGCATACAGAGACACAGAAACATGAAAACATTTTCTTCAGCCAAGTAGGAGACATCTTATTCCTGGTAGATATACTTTTCAGATGCATAGATTCTGGATTTTTCCTGAGTGTATCATCAGTTTTTAAAAGTGATCTTTTCTGCAGTTACAAAATGTACTTTCATATGAGAACATCAAACGCAGATTGTGACCCTGATCTTTTTTTATTCCTCGTCTATTTTACAGACTCCAAGTCGCAGTGCTTCAAAAGACACGCTTTAAACTATCTTCAGGAGATAGGAAATGGCTGGTTCGGAAAGGTGAGACAATCAACTCAATAATATTCCTACACCATTTAGTTTTCATGTAAAATATAACCCGGATCACAGATTTATTTTTCTGATCTGTTATATGTAATGACCAGATGAGGGGTGTAAACTAAAGGCTGTTGTTTTACTGCTGGTCCTCTCCTGAGCACTCTCCCGTGATATTACTCATTGATCTGTTCAGGTGATCCTGGCCGAGGTGCTGTGTGACTGCAGCTCCTCTCAGGCCGTGGTGAAGGAGCTGCGTGTCAGTGCCAGCCCTCTGGAGCAGAGGAAGTTCTTGGCAGAGTCCGAGCCGTACAGGTGAGAAACCATTTTGGACGCAAAACAATGTTACTTTGGCTTGACAACAATTACTGTCACAGTTCGTTATTGTGTTTGACAAGCAGTGTGATTAGAGTACAGTATTCAAATCAGGTCTGTAGGAAATCTGCACTACAGGAAAACGTATCTAAAATAAGTTAATATTAGCCATCAATAACAGAACCTACAGGTAAGGCGGTATGTGCATAGAGTGTTTTAAGTTGAGGAAAACGGCATTTTCAATCATTGACTGAAGGAGCAACATTGGGTCTGGCTTGGATCCAACCTGTTTACACTCTAAAAATATTGTTTTAATTTTGTATTGTGTACTTAGAGAGATACTGTTACTGCAGGTAGATGATAATAAAACACACACACACTAATACACAGAGGAAGCAGCAAGTTCTTTATGTTCTTTTTTCTCTATTGCTATCTCTAGGCAAATCCCACTACAAACATCACCACCATGCCTGCACACACACACTCACACACAAATATACACCCACAAAGAGTCATTTTCACACACATTCATATGCTGTTTATTTCGTGCTCTCACTCGCACAAACATTTCACTTTTCCTGTTATCTTTTCTGTGTCTGATGTAAACACACCTACATAACAACAAGCTAAACACACACTATCGATCAATCAATCAATCTATCCATCTATCTATCTATCTATCTATCTATCAATCTATCCATCTATCTATCTATCTATCTATCTATCTATCTATCTATCTATCTATCTATCTATCTATCTATCTATCTATCCATCCATCTATCTATCTATCTATCTATCCATCCATCTATCTATCTATCTATCAATCTATCTATCTATCTATCTATCTATCTATCTATCTATCTATCTATCTATCTATCTATCTATCTATCTATCTATCTATCTATCTATCTATCTATCTATCCATCTATCCATCTATCTATCTATCTATCTATCTATCTATCTATCTATCTATCTATCTATCTATCTATCTATCTATCTATCTATCTATCTATCTATCTATCTATCTATCTATCTATCTATCTATCTATCTATCTATCTATCTATCTATCTATCTATCTATCTATCTATCTATCCATCCATCCATCCATCCATCTATCTATCTATCTATCTATCTATCTATCTATCTATCTATCTATCTATCTATCTATCTATCTATCTATCTATCTATCTATCTATCTATCTATCTATCTATCTATCTATCTATCTATCTATCTATCTATCTATCTATCACTGTTTGTTTGTCTGTTCATCTATCTGGTTTCTCTTACTTCCTCGAGGAGCCTAAAACATCCGAACGTCCTTCAGTGTTTGGGGAAGTGCAGTGAGAGCATCCCCTTCCTCCTGGTTATGGAGTTCTGTCAGCTGGTGAGTACAAACTGCTGTTTAAATATCGAACAAAAGGGAAATTAAAACTAGCTTGGTGTGTACACAAAATAACATAAATACTTGTCAACAAGGCCTGTGACTAAAAACTAGCAACATTAGTGCAACCATTGTAATGTGTCTTTTAAAGATGAACTATTGCTTGTTTTTCTCATTTCGCTTCGTTTATCTACAATTTGTGCTCAAATAATCTTTCATTTTTCAGTGCGGTTGTTCAACTTGTATCTGAAAATTCTAAAAACAAACCGCTAATTGCTATACTGCTTTTATTACTGACGAGTGCTGTTTATTGACATGACAGCTGTTGAGTCTGTAGTTATACAGAGTGGTGTAAGAGTTGCATTAAATGTATGGGTTGTTTTCAACTGGTCTTAACTTCATTTACCCCTTGATTAAGTGGTTTTAATGTCATTGTAAGCATCTCATTTGCTGCAGGAATGATAAATGATTATGTTATAAATGTTCCGGTATCACTTGAATCAGCTTTACATCAATACGTCAGCTTGTTTTCCTTCCCTCATCGGGCTTACTCCCTGACTGATTAAGGAAACCATATGAGTAGACTCTCCGGCCAAACAAAGACACACACAGATCAATTATATCAACACAGTGAGAGAAGCCAAACAACGCTGAGGGCCTCGTAGACTGCTATTATCATGTTGGATAATGTCTCCTATTGTCTATTTATTGCGGTTATTTTCAATCTTTTTTTTATAGTCCTCATTATATTTATTTATTCTTTATGTTCATAGCCCTCTCTTAAGCTCACAAGATTAATACCATGGCTGCCACCTTATTACCAATACCCTGCTGCTTTTAGCCTCTCTGATGGAAAACACCCTAAAAAGGGATGGATTTACTGCAGAAGTCCTAAATATTCTCTGTTCTCTGAATCATCTCTGTTTTACAAGAAGGACACAAGCACTTAGTGTGCACAATGTTGTCCAAACTGGCATTACCTTACCTTGTACTTAAGCATGCATGCAATTGACTGCTGGCATTACTGTTGTGATGTTCAATTAGGGCGACCTGAAGAGGTACCTGAGGGCCCAGCGCAAGTCAGATGGGATGACTCCTGACCTGCCGACTCGGGACCTCTTGACTCTTCAGAGAATGGCTTTTGAGATCACCTCCGGTCTGCTGCATCTCCATGAAAACAATTACATCCACAGGTCAGTCATGACTTCACCTCTGCGCATAATCAGGGATCTAATCTTTAAACAAGATTGTATCTCTAAAAATATATATCATGACATTAAAAAGAAGGTAATTTGCTTTTTTTATGAACTCTTTTAATAATCTAATGTTTGTCTTGGCGTGTGCTGGAACTTGTCTTTTTGGTTTACTAAGATTTGATATTGTTGTTTAATGTGGCTGATTGATGGAGGTTGTGCTTACTTTCTGCAGCGACCTGGCTTTAAGAAACTGCCTGCTGAACTCTGACCTCACTGTCAGGATAGGTGACTACGGCCTTTCACACAACCATTACAAGGTACGTTTGATTTGATCTGCAAAATGTACCCTTACATAAGTTCCCGGTGGATCCATGTAGGATATTAGATTGTTTTCCATTCTAACATGTGTAAATTCGTCATTCAGATAATGACAGTGCATTTATCAAAATAATTCTTGTTGTATGACATTGTGAAGGAGGACTATTACCTAACTCCTGACAAGTTATGGATCCCGCTGCGCTGGATTTCTCCTGAGCTGCTGGAGGAGTACAGAGGATCTCTCATCGTTACTGACCAAACCAAGGCCAGCAATATGTGGTATGTACATTTGTATAGATTTCTATGTATTCATCTAGAGCGGTCACATCTGATTATATAGTGCAAGCCAGGTAGGATATGGATATTTCATGTGGGTAATTTATGATCGTATCCATCTATTTGGTGTCTGGTTGTAAGAAGCCACTTAAATCAAGTAAACTGTCAAGAGAAAAAATGGTGTCCTTCGATTACAGATAATATTTATTATCTTATTTCCTTCTCAAACAAGTTTTCCCTTTAATAATATCATGACAAAACTCGTATAACAAACAGAATATCTTCTTACATGTTTTTATTTATTTATTGTGCCTCAGTCCTGTTTTCTTTTGAGTCAGAGCTCTGTGTAAAACAAAGCGTTCCTTTAAAAGCATTACATAACAAATCGGTCTGTGAAGATCTGTGTCTCACCATCTCTACATTTTATTTTCCCCTGCAGGTCCTTGGGGGTGGTTATATGGGAGCTGTTTGAGTTTGGCTCTCAGCCCCACAGACACCTGAGTGACGAAGAGGTGCTGACCTTCGTCATTAGGGAGAGACAGATCACCCTGGCTCAGCCCAGACTCAAACTCTCCCATGCCGACTACTGGTCAGTACTTATCCACTGAGTGGAGTTTGCAGAAATGATGATTATGTTAATGGAGGTGATTATGCTCTAATTCTGTTTGTCTCTCCTGTCCTCAGGTATGAGATCATGCAGTCCTGCTGGCTACCTCCATCCCAACGCCCTTCTATAGCAGAGATCTTCCTCCTCCTCTCCTCCCTCCTGGCAGCAGAGCGAGGAATAGCAAGGGATAGTGTTGGGGAAGAAGATGAAGAGGATGAGGAGTATGAGGAGGGCGGTAGAAGGCGAGGGGAGAGCGATGAGTCGTTTGAAAGACGCTGGGACTTACTCCGACCGCCGGCTTTCCAGATTGCAGCAAACGAGCGGCAACGGGAGAGAGAGTACGGCAGGGAGGACAGAGACAACTCCTACCCCCTGCTGGACCCTGTGGGGAACTGTATCAACGCGTCCTCGACTGAACTGGACGACATCCTGACAGTCACCGAAACCAGCAAAGGCTTGAACTTTGAGTATTTCTGGGAGAAGGCTCATGCCAGACAAGGCTACAAACCTCTCCCTCCTCCCCAGCCAATCCCAAGTGTGAACAATAACCACAGGCAATCTCTGGACACTCCCACCGTCGTCCCGGTGATAAGCGCCCGCAGCCCCTCCCTCGCCAGCGAGTACTACATCAGATTAGAGGAGCACACTCCCCAGGACAAGTCACCACCTCTTAAAGGGAAGTCTTTCCGCTCTGACTCGATCTGCCTCGGAGACATGGAGTTGATGGAGATCCGCAGTGGAATGCTGGGAAAAGAGCGAGTCCCTTATTTCTCGTCTGACAAGTGTGGGAAGGGTATCCAGACGGTGAGATCGAGCGAGGTTCATCTCCATGTGCCCAACACAGGGCTGGCTGAGTTCAGAGACACTTCGAGCAGAGTGACTGACTTCTCAGTAGTCGATTTAGGAGACGATGATGAGGAGGAGGACAGGAGAAGGAGTAGTGATCCGGATAAAATAGCCCCGGTCCTTCCTCCCAAGCCTCGCTCTATGTCCATGTCGTCAGCCAACCATCTCTACTCGCGCCCCCTCCCCGCTCCTCCACTCGGTTACAGAGGACTGCCTCACTACACCATCGGGGGGAAAATCGAAACAGACCCCCATCACATCACTACCTTTAATCACCTGGGCCTCCATAGGGCCCGACAGACACTACCCCCATCCCCGTCGCTATCCCCCTCCCTTCCCCCATCCAGCCATCCGATCTACCCCCAACCTCCTCAAATGTGTCCCCCACCCCTCCCTCCCCACTCCAAACCACAAAGAGGTTGTCCCAGCTACAACACAGCGGAGACTTATTCCAGATACAGTAGGCCGCAGATGCAGAGTTCGAACAGAGACCCGCTATCCTGTGACTTGTCTGACAGAGAGGGTGGCAGCAGGCATTTAGCATCCTTGCACAACTCCAAGGACAGTTCCCATTCTCGTGCAAAAGACTTTGACTCCCCCATTCGCAGAGAAAACCCGTTTCGCCCAATTTACCGTAATTTACCCCGCCCTCATCCTGACAGACAGTCTTCATCAAGTCCTACCTACTCAGACGAGGATGACTCTCCTTTTACGTCCCCAGAGAGAAGCGGTGGGAACTCTGTCCCTCACTCCAGCCTCTCTGAAGATGCAGACCCTTCCGCTGGAGACTTCTTCTCCAGGGGAATGAAAAGGACTCAGTCCCGACTTGACACCATCCTGCCGGCCATCTGGAGGGAAGATGCTGAACTCCTTTCTGAACGTGTGGCCGCTGCCAAGAAATCCCCCATGCATCTGTTTCTGACGGAGATCTCGAGTGTGACAGAGTCCACTGAGTCCAAGTCTGAGCCTCCATGCGAGGGAAAGAAGGAGGAGAAAAGAGATGGAGAGACGTGGGGGAACTTTGTTTTGCCCAACAGAGGGATGCGGCGCTCCCAGTCGCTGATCACAGAGCTGGGGTCAGCAGGACAGTCATGGGGGTCAGAGAAACGCAACCACAGCTCGGGAAATGAGGAGGACCTAACAGTCACTAGCGAATCAGTTCAGAGGGATCTCTTCCTCACAGAGATTGACACAGGCATGGACACGGATCCAGAGGGAGGATCTCAACCCGATGCAGTCAAATACCTCTATCCTTCAGGATCCAGGTTGCGGCCCTATGTCTGTGCGCCTGGCCTGCCCACGTACACCGAGGCTGAGGAAGCGTACTCTAAAGGAATACGGAGATCCCGCTCCCTCCTCTCTGAGATCACTATCGGGAAGCAGGAGTCTGACCTGCAGCAGGAGCCTGCCAAGACAGAGATGACCAGGGAGGAGTTCCTGAAGGAGATCCAATCAGCAGAGACCTTCCTGACGGAAATCATATCCAGACAAAACGCTGCCACAAACAAAAAGGAGACCGATTCATCTTACTCCCCTACTCCACTCTCTCCTGAATACGAGTCCATTTGCATTGACCCAGGCTCCGCTCAGACCATCAGGTTTCAGTCGGAGAGCTCCATACGAGCATCCAACAAAGGAAAAGAGGAAACACCAACTGAGGCCATCTATGCTCAAGTGACCAAGAGGGCTAAAAAGAGTGAGATAAAGGTTTCTATGAAACCGGAGATCCCAGTCCTTCATATAGGATCAAATAAACAACCTCTTACATCGGACAGCGAAGGAAGCGATGCTGATCACTGCCAATCTGGTGAGTTTGTGTTTTCAGAAATCATGCCCAAAAATGGCCTCCTGCACAACCAAACACATGCAAGTCAGAATGAGGAGGAGACTTTAGATGGCCCCGCTTTACCTGCCAGAGGAGAGCAAACAGCAGAATCCAACACTGTGACACAGCAGGAGAATGAACCGCTAGAAACAGATACTCAAAGAGAAGATGTTATAGGGAATGGAGGGTTAATGAGAGCAGACAGGGCAAGCAGCCCTGAGAGAGACGATCAGACGACATGTGATGTTGACAAAGAAAAGTACCACACTGATAACATTTCTGCAGTGGATTCTGAAAATATCACTGCAGCAGATCTGGAGAATTTTGGTTCTCAGATTCATGATGAGGCAAAGAGAGAAAACAATGACACTGGGCAGGAAAAACCTTGTCACATTTCCCAAGAGGAAGCCGCTCCTGCTATCACTCCAACTACTCCAGATTGGGACCCCTCCTCTGACGTCTCACTCTTGACCCCCACAGACTCGGTCCTGTCTCCTATGACTTCAAACTCAGCCGACTGTCTCACACCCAGTGACTCATGGACGAGCAGCGGAGGAGGAGTGGGAAGTGGCGGGTGGCGAGCTCTGGGAAATGAAACACCCCATCGAGACTCTGCATATTTCTCAGACAGCGACTGGGAGGGGGACGGGATGACCAGGAGGAGCAGTGACGGACTCATGGCCTCCAGGCCGAGCAGCAGTCGAGCAGCAGACAGGGGAACACTGACTGGGATCGAGGAGAAAACTGAGGAGGAGGGGGAGAATGGAGAAAAGAGCCCCTTAAGAAATAGTAAAAAGTCGTCGGATAAGAAAAGTGAAAGTGGAACAACTATTGAGATGTGTGAGGAAAGTATAACTTTATATCAACATGCTACAGAGAATTCCGTCCCTAATTTAGATGATGACGAAGATTCTCTGAACAAAGGGCTTGAGTCAACACAGAGAGATGACTCTGGCATTTTCCAAAACGAGAGCAAAGAGTCATCACTGCTGTGTGATGATCAGCAGGCCAAGGACTGTGTTGACTTAATTGATAAGTTATTCACAAAATTAGATGATGAGCCACTGAAAGGGCTTCCTCACAGCAGTGGGTATCCGATAGACAACGACTACACAGATGGCGTCATCGCTCAGATAACAGATTGCAAATACCAGGATGCTGCAGAGAACAAATTTAATCTGCAATCCAAGAGCCTCGCTGAGAAAAATGTTTTGATCGAGGCTATATCTGGCAGTCTGTCAAAGGATTGTCAAAGTATAACAGAGACTGATATTGATATTTCTGCAATGAACTCTCTCAAATGTGGAAATGACGCTGTGCAATCTGCAACACCATCTCAAGATGACAACAGAGAGTCAAGGTTATCCACCATGTACGGCATTCAAAGCAGTGACCCCACACTCGGAGATCCAGTGGCGTCAGTAGTCGAGCCAAGCGATGACGGGAAGTCTGTCTTTGATAAAGAGAGTGGTCTGATTAGTCCTTCTTGGGCCGAGGAGGGTGATGAAGAGTCAGAAGGAGGTGAAGAGAGGCCGGGGCTGGACCACAACGAGCTGGGCCTGAGAAACCTGCAATGCTCAGAAGGCAGCGAGGTAAAGAAGGTCACGACGGAGACGAAGACGGAGACGGAGGCGGAGGCGGAGACGGAGACGGAGACGGAGACGGAGACGGAGACGGAGACGGAGACGGAGACGGAGACGGAGAAACAGCTGGCTGCCGCAGAGCTGAGTAACGCCATGAAGGAAAAGTCCCCCTTGAGAGGGGCAGTGAGTCGGGTGGACTCTGCTAACAGTGTGGATAATAACTCCTGCGAGGGCCTGGATGTGAAGACTAAAGAGTTATGGAGCGCCCTGGAGGAGGATGAAGAACTAACAGGATCTGGTGTCGTTAGGGGGGAGTTTGACTGCCATCGTTTTTTACAGTCAAGTGATTTACGGTTGTGGCCTGATGAAAATGACCAGTGGGCCTCACCAGAGAGGAGGAGCCAAGATGTTGAACTCAGGTCTGAATTTTTCTCTGGGTTCAGTAATAAAGCCTGGGAGGTGGCGGAAAGGCTCGTTGTGGGCCAGGAGTTTTGGGAGGCTGAAGAAAACGATGAACTTGCAGGAAGTGAAACTCATCCTGCCATCTTGGCGGGCAGTGAAGAAACCAGGAACGAGGAAACACAAGGACTTGTGGGTAATCTTGCCCTGAAGGAAAGGTGGGACTCTGCAGACAGTGATGATCAACAGTTGGAAGAAGTGGTAGAGATACAACAGGTAGAGATACAACAGGAGGAAAATATTGAGAATGTAATATTAATTGTCAGTCTCAACAAAGACCTGGAAAGAGAAACCTCAGATATTGAAGTAGAGAATAAAGAAATCCCAGAGCAGGAGTCCTCAGAGAAGGACGAGAGTACGATTTTGTGTACAGACACCGAAGGTCTGCAGGACTCCACAGAGACGGAAGAAAATCAAAATTTTAACAGATGTCCTCAGAATCTCCAAAAACACGAAGAGACATCAGCCAAGCAAATTGATGAAACCATCTCGAACCCAGAGAACTGCTTCAGTCAAACTTTAGAAAGCTCAAGTATAATTATTTGCATCACCGAAGCTCCTCATGAGAACCTTTCCCACCTGGAAAATGTTGAATCAGGCGCAGAATCAGAGGAGGAAACAAGACCATGGCATGCTAAGGAACACGTAGAAGAGAGAGTAAGCATTATGAATGAAGAAGAGGATTACAGAGACTTGCCCCCTCCACCCAATCCCATCTATTGTCCTGATGACCTTGATATGCAGGAGGACATAGATCCACAGGTCGACAATTTCAGCTCAGTAGATTTCCCTAGTCCTCCACCAAGCATAGACCTTGATGTGCAAGATGATAAATTGGAGAGTTTAGACGACTCTTTTCCTAGCCCACCGCCATCTGTTATCGAGGCAGAGGAGTTTATTAGTCACATTAATCTAGAAGACTTTATTGCTAGTACTGAGACAGAGTCGTATATTTCCCCAACTCACAGCGCAGACGTGTCAGAGCCACCTTTGCAAGAATCACCACCTGCTACAACTCAGAGTAAAGGGATCTCAGCCAACCTGAACCTCCCCACTGTGCATATAACCCTGGCCGATGAGAGCGACCTCACACCCAACACAGAACTACAGGATGAACCGAATCATCTGTTCCAGGAAACTTCATCTGCCACGCCATCTTCACCCCAGGTTCCCCTCAACAATCTCCCAGAATTACTGATTTCAGAGTGGAAAGATTTGGATGAGGAGCCCCTGGAGGATTTTGAAAAACTGGAACAACTGTGCTGCATTTCTGGGGACGAAGAGGACTCTCTGGGCGACCTTTTTCTGGGGAACCTGGAGATCCTGGAGTCTCTGAAGAAGACACCTGAGCAGAAGGGCAGCAGTGTTGGTGAAAGTGATGAAGGTGAGAAGACAGGTGGCTCCTCTACTCCTGAGGGGGATTTGAATGATGAGTCTGATACTCTGGTAGAGTCAACACCACAGCTGATCCTGGATTCTCAAGAGAAGAAGAACGACGGCCAGAGATCACAGAGTGAAACATCTGATGTCAAAGACCATGGCTCTCTCTCTAAGATGACAACAAAAAATGGCCTCATGATGCAGGTGAGCATGTTTTTTTGTCTTTTTTCTTTCTGTTTTGTTTGATGTAAGAGCATTCTCTATATTAGCTTTCTAAGTGTATTCACACCTCTTCATTGTTTTGTTTTGTCGTTCAGGTGTGTGAGGAAAGGCTGCAGTTCTCCCTCAGTGAAAATGTGAAAACAAACGTGCTCTGGGGGTCGACTGTCAAAGACACGGTGATGATCAGACCCTGGAGCGAACAAATCGCAGAGAACAGCAGTGAGCTGGTCACTGTGACGGAGCAAAACGAGGATGAAAGGTATGAAGAAGGCTGGATTAGGAAATCTGCGTTTGTCTTAAAGGAAACCTATCATGTTTTTTTTGCATGATAGGTCCCCTTTAAATGCTCGATTGACCCTAAACCATGAAAAACAAAACAAAAACACAACACAAATGTTCTACCTTTAGTGGTATCTTATGGAGGCCATTAAAAGTGTTTTTTATTCACAAAACACTATCGTCATTGCGGCTCAGCAGTATTCAGACATAGAGAACATTTTGTTTTTTATTTTCTCAGTTTTTAAGATATATTTCTTCACCTTCACCACAGTATAGCTGAGATGAATGGATTTTCATTTCCAGTGCTCAGACTATTAAACATTTATATATTTAGAAAAATCATCTCTTTTCAGAAACAGTTTCTCCCTTACTTTTCAACAGCACACAATGTGACAAGAAAGTAGTAGTAAGTAGAACGTTTTGCAGAAAGTAGTTCCAAAGAAAACTGTTGACAGTAACATCTGCGGGTTACAGGGATACCATCAACCTATTCATCTAGTTGTGAGCACCATGAATGAAATACAAATGAGATGAAAGTGATGAATCCTTGAATAATCTAAATAAAACTCTGCATGACCAGATACCACAAGGGTTAGACAACAAAAACTACGATATGATTATATTTTGTTGAAAAACCCCATTGATATTCCTGTTTTAATTCATGTTTGTTTGTGATTTGTTGTTGTTGTTGTTGTAGCCAAGAGGAGCAGGAAAGTTCCCCGAGCTTTCAGCCGCACACGGAGTCTGAAGAAACTAATGCTGAGCCGCTCACTGTGATTGAACATCCTGAGGTCACAACCCCTCAGCCGACTGCGAACCAGGCAATGAAAGGTACCTTCAGGTTGCACGGAAATATATTCATGGTTGACATCATTAAATACAAATTGGCATATTTCGATAGCCATACACAGTTGCTATAGAGTATCCATGTGGTTACTATTCAAAATAGCAGAAATAGCAGAGGGGGAAACAACTGGAGTAAATGTGAAAAACAAAATCCAGTTTATCCTGTGTTTTTGATAGTTGCTAGGCTCAGAGACAACAGGAAAGTGGTCCAGTTGTCCAGCAATAAAATGCCAGGGTGGGAAACGTTATTGGTTTCCACTTAAAGTAAACTTCTTCAGTCTCAAGAAGAAAAGGTAGGATAAATGAGGGGAAAAAGTGAATGTCAACAGCAGTCAATAACTAGCATATCTTTGCATGTAAAGGTTCTGCAAATGTCATCCAAATCTTTGAACCGGTCCTAGTATGCACATTTTCAGAGTTTATATTTGTATTTCGTGCCTCTGCTGTGACATGATTACATTCTTTAAAGTTCAAAAAGTGTTTTATTTTTCTCATACTAGCTGTGCTTCAGCACCTCTGTTCACCCTCTGTCTGAAACCAGACCCCAGGCTCTGTAGTGATTGGTCAAACACTCAGAGATGTCCGGCCTCTTAGCCTATCACGTAGAATGTGTTGGAAAACCCCAAAAACATAATAATAGGGCCCCTTTAAAGAATTTGTTGTAACACTCTTGTCGGGTATCTCATGTCTAACGTCTCTTCCCTACATTCATTTTCACAGCTAAACTTGCTCGTCTGTCCCTCGCCCTCCCTCCTCTCGCTCTGACTCTGCCCCTCACCCCCACTGGAAAAGGAGGGTTTGGGGACGGTGCGATTGGAAATCGAATTGTGAGACGGAGAGGTCTGTCCTCAGGAAGCGACCCTGACGATGAGGAGGAGGACGAGCAGGAGGACGAGAGCTCCCGGAGGGTGATAGTCGTCACAGAAACAGATGTGGACAAACGCGTCGGGCTCAGGAGTTTACTGAAATCACCGAAGGAGCCGATGGACAGAGAGAAGGACAGAGGAAGAAACGTGTCCTTTTTTGATGATGTCACAATCTATCTTTTTGATCAGGTACTTCCCTTTCCTAAATAGTTGATTAACAGGAGATAGTTTGTGATTCAATAAAAGGAGTCCTGACTTTTCTGTTTCCTTACAACAGGAAACTCCAACCTATGAGTTGGGCAGTTCAGCGCCCACAAGTCCAGCCCCTGTGACGGTCAAAAACAGCAAGTTGGATTTGCGTGGTAAGATCAAAAATATTTACAACGTCTAAGAGTCTCACATTACTGATTAGACTCAATGAGGAAGTGACATTTTTTTCATGGTTCTAGGAATACCTCTGTCAATCAGTCCACCACTTTCAGACTCTAAAATTTCAACCAAAATTCACAATCCCAAAAAAAACAATCATACTGGCTTGGTGATTCCATCACCACCAGGAGGTTAGCATTTATGAAAAAAAAATTCTCAGGATAATAATAATAATACGTTGTATTTGTCATCCGCTTTTACTGGGGCTCAAAGACCCTTTACAAAAATAGAAAAATAAAATCAAGCCCACAAAACAACATTTAACACTAGGACATTAATCACACATTAAAAACTGTCAAAAATGTGAGATGTTATCAGTGTTTTAAAGATTAGGGAGGTTTGTGCCGTCTCTGATGTGTTTTGGAATGAGTTCCAGAGGGAGGGGGCAGCGATGGAGAAGGCCCTGTCTCTAGGTTTGGTGCTTGATCCATGGAGTAATGAACAAGACATTGGCGCCTGATAAGCGAAGGCAGGGGGAAGGGCTGAGGTAGGAGAGAGGCCTGGTTGTTGAGTGCTTTGTGTGTTAGGAGAAGGATTTTTAAGTGTATTTGTTGAAGGACAGGAAGCCAGTACAGGTTTTTGAGGACGGTGACGATGATGTATTGAAGTTTATTGAGAATGTTGGATGATGAGCCAAAAATGCTGTTACAGTAGTCCTCTCTCGAAGTGATGAATGTGTGGATGAGGGTTTCTGCAGCAGAGAAGGAGAATGATGGGCGGAGGGGGCAATGTTTTTGACGTGGAAGAAGGCCAAAGGATGTCAATTCAATACCTCTGCTGTAGGTTGTGTTTGTGCTAAGTACGATGTTTAATATAATGAACCTGCTTAAGATCAGCAAGATAGCATTGTCAGTGTGTATACGTGAGCATTCAGGTCAAAGCACAGCAATGTCATGAGGGTCATCCCTGTGTTCACAGGCAGATTGGTATGGGCTGTTTTTACAGTTCAAATTGCAAAGAAAGGAAGGACGCCATCAGTGTCTAAAGTCAGTCTTGTCTGCCAATTTGAGAGCGTAGGTTTTAAGAAGTTTAACATCAGTAGGCTTTAATCTGTAGGTGGATGATTTAAGCATATTGCCCAGGTAAAACATACCTTGAACATTTGACCCTAATGGAAAAACAGCAAAACACTCAGCAAGACATTGCTGAGTAAATAACCTATATGAAAGGTCTTGTTAATGTTTCATATTAAAGGATATTTAGACGGGGAACATCACAGAACCACTATGATGCTTTGGACTCTTGTTATCAGACTCAAGAGATAAAGCGCCTGACATATTTTCCCTTCTACACATGTACTATCACTATGTCCCCAACTTGAGCCGGAGAATGACGTAATACAATCTGACAGCCACTAACTCACTCCCACCCACCGAAATGGAAAACCCTCATTTCAACCTCCTCCTCTCCAAACATGCAGCCAGAATTAATCTTCTATAATTTTCCCCTCGGCTCTGTGACATGTGGAACTGAGCGGCGACATAAATCCTGCGCTCAACAATGCAAGGCTAAGCTGTGTTCCCCAACACGTCTTCATTTGCTCCCTCGACTTCCTCTCGCTATCTCGTACACTGATCACCTCATTTCAGAGAGTAATGAAGGTTTGGGCTCACAGTGTCCTTTGGGCTGTGCACATATAAAGGAAAGCAGAAACTCCAAAATTAGATGCTTTCATGATCTTTTGTTGAGACTTGAAACGGAAAGAGGACGCTGTGTTCAGTTTGAGCTATTTTTAACTAGAATCTGTCCAGCATTGCTTTAGTGTGATTTTATTATAGATCATTAGATTATGTTCTGGTTTTATAGTAATATCTTACTCTATTTGTATTAAATACCCTGCCATAAACGGATGGTGTACCTGAACTTCAGTATGTTAATTCTGATGTATTTTATTTTATTGAAATGTCACCTGGGTATGCTGTACATCTGTAATCTGAAGGAAAACAATCAAACAAAAATAATTATGCATTGTATTTTTTTGGCAACATGAAATGCTAATGAATAAATACAAACACATCACATTCCTACTATTTACTGAACTGTACTATTTTGTTAAAATACGTGAGGAGTCTGGTAGCAGCATTTTGAAATAGGAGTACAATTCAACACATGCATCGCAGGAACTTGTGACTGAGATTAATTTTGTTCCTCTTTCCATCAGGAAACATCAAGAGCAAAGAATCAAAAAGGAAGGAGGATCTATCAATCAAACCAAGGTCGTCTGTGGGGTCAAAACAAGTATCATCGTCGCGCTTCACTGTCAGCCCTGCCAACGACCCCCACCTCGCGTGATGTTACGTGTCGTCGTGGGAACCTTTAGAGCTGAACCCTCTCGGACTGGCCAGCAAATTAACCCCAACAACCAGCCATTCACCCAGAGGCTATTTTTTTATTGAAGAGGCAACGAAAGATTGAAGCTCCTGTTCTCAAAGCTGGACACATTCCAGGTTTTACCAGCGACAGGATTTTGTATGACAGGGCTTGTTGTGCTCCTGCCTGCCACTATTTACAGAGTTTTATTCTTTAAGTCTTTGGAAAAGGCAGCATATGCTAGGAGAAGAGGAGCTTGGAGCTTTGTAAAATCTGAAACAGATTTGACAGCTATGCAGTGGGAGTCTTGCTGTGTACCAGCTTACCTTCTGTCTTTCTTCTTCATTCTGTGGTATTATTCCCCAGATGTGCGGGGAACGCACTTTCTTTAGTCATTCATTCGTCTAGGTAAACGCTTGAATTCCAGTCCTCTCTTTATTAAAGACGTTTTTCATTGCAGTCAGTCAGATGTTCTTGTAGGCAGCAGTTTGGAGCAGAAATCGCTTGACTCCTGTATTTGACAACACTCATTTGCATTTGTACAAATATCATAATACAAGTGAATACAACATAATTTTAGAGCTGTTTACTTTTAGATGTATTCTTAGACTGCACGTAAAATGAAACAAGCTATGCTTCTTTTATACTTTAAGTTCCAAAAAGATTTGTTGTTAATTTATATTAAATATATTATATTGTTTTATTTATTATTTATTTAAAGCCAGTTTTCATGCAATATTTGATTGATTTGATTATTTATTAATTGTATTTATTTGGTTATTTGATTTACTGCAATTAACATATTAACTTTGCTCTGATTTGTTTGGGACAGAATGCATCTAGGTTATATCTTCTCTAAGATCTTCATAACAAATAAATCAAAAATATTTTCCCAAACGTCTTAATTGCTAAAAAAAATAAGTATTTTGTATAATTTTACTTGTTAATATATGCCAATCTGTAAGAAAATATGTCCTGTAATGTGTCATTATTTTTCGAATGTCTATGAATTTTTAGCTGTCTTGTCATTATTTTACCTTGTTTAAAGACCGCTATCGTAGCTTAGCATGAAAAATTGAAGCCTTTCATCAGTAAATAATTCCATTTGTTTGTGTATCTGTTAATTTACCCCATTTTCTACTAATAACAGTCCATCATGCAGTCGAGGTCCAACTAGTCCATTTGTTTAGTCTGTTTAAATGTTGGTTAAAAACCTGTATTGTTTAAACAATTGTTTTCGAGGGATAATGTATAAACAAGGGGAAATAAAAACTACAAAATGTGAACCTCTTAATGAACTGTTTCATGGCAATAATTCGTATGTTCTGTAATCGCGCGCAACGCGCTCTATTTAAGACAAAGAAGTGTTTTGACTTCATTTCCCAGAAATCAGTTCGAAAGCTGTTACGTATTTAGTCTGCGTCAAACGATTCAGCCACCATGTACACCACGGGCTGAAAGAACATCGTATTAAGAGTCGTTTTTACCTTAATACTTACACCTTAAAGAGGTGATAAGGCGTATTGGTTTTTGTTTTCACAAGGCGACCGTCTTTTGATATCTAAAGGTAAGTTTGTGTTACTTATAAAGCGTTTAGGGAAATCAACGGCTGCGTCTAGCCAACGTTTGCTAATGCTAGCTAGCACACACTCATTCAGTATTAACGATACTAACACTGCATTTAGCCACAGTGTTAAAAATATTCGGTCTTATAGCTACAGTATCAGTTTTCGTCCTCTCTATAATTCAGCCTGCGTTTATTTTGTATTTGTAGTGTTGTCTTAAGAGTCCTAACAGGGCCGCAATACCATGAAATTAGTTGTGTGTTACTACTTTAAAAACAACCCCCAGTTGTGTACACATGTTTCGGTCACAAGAAATACATTTTTAAGATGTTATCTAAGGCTATCAATTATTCACATTAGTATTTTCCTGTGCATTATGTGGCTTATATGTTACAAGATGTCAACATTTTCCACAAATAGCAAGAGCACAGCGCGAGGGCTTACATTGTTTGTAGTTCTTTTGTGTAGCGTCCAAATTACAATAAAGTAAAGCAGAGTAAAACAATCCGGTCTTTGCAGTTGTGAAGCAACTCCGAGTCAAACGTTAATTCCGAAAACCTCTGGGGTTTGACGAGTTAAAAATAAGCACTTTTTAGGTTATGGGCTTGATAGTGAAAATGATTTCCATAAATATTTATTGCGATATAAAAAAATTAAAGTGATACATTTAGGGGACTGAAAGAGCTCTATCTAGTATTTGACAAGAAAATAAATCAGATATTTAAAATGTCATGTCCTGCAAAGTCTATAGTCTTTAATGACCTTTGTGACCTCCTAGCCATCTTGTGGTGATCTTTTTTTCCTCCGAATTTTTTCTAACATTTGCTTTGCAAAATAATTTGCTTTTAATTTCTTCTGCTATAACTAGGGCTGTGCGATTATGGCAAAAATCATAATCACGATTATTTGGGTCAATAATTGATATCACGATTATTAAATACGATTATTCATTGACTTGAAAAAATCCATTTATTGAACTTTAAAACAAATAATAATTTGAACAGTATCTTTTTAACTGTTGATTACCCTGAACGTATAATTCAACTGAAAAACCAATACAAAAATAAATTAAATGAATTATACATTTAAATAAATAATATCAAAATAATAAATACCAATAAACAAGATCAACAAATATTTTGGAGCGCACTTCCACAAGCTACTAAACATATATAAATATGATAAATACAAATAAATGAGACTAAAATAAATTAGGTCAAATATAACCTAGCAAAGCTAAATAATTGTTTTTTTCGATTATGTTGTTTTCGTAATTGTGGCAGGCCAAAATCATAATTGCGATTTAAAATACGATTAATTGCACAGCCCTAGCTATAACAGTAAGATAAGACAATTAAATAACTTTAAAACAGAACGGATGGCATTTGGTGTTTTGTCTTTGCTATCTTCACAAATGTCAGATGCTATACGGTGTTGTTGTAGATATTATTATAACTTAAACGATGGAGCAACCAGTAACACAAAAAAGTGTTGATTTTTACTGACTTAAAAAAACAAACTGATAGGTCTGTAAGCTCATATTTTCCTCAAACTTTCTGTCGCTGGTTGCAGATGTCTCTGGCGGACGAGCTCCTGGCCGATTTGGAGGAGGCCGGAGATGAGGGGGAGGAGGGGTTGTATCCAGAGGAAGAGGAACGGGATAGTGATGGAGAGGCAACGCAGGGAAGGGCAGAGGGAGCGTTGGAAGACATCCCAGAGGAGATGGAGGTTGACTACAGTAAAGCGGAGAGTGTTGGCTCCATCGCCAAGCTGCGCAATAGCAAGCAGGTGAGTTGTGTCACATGGGAGCGTTGTGCATATATTATGAGTAATGCGTCCGTTCTGACCTTCATTTCTGTCTACAGTTTTCAGAGATCATGGAGAAAATTTCCTTTTATAGTGGAAAGCAGCGCAAGAACTCAGAGAGTGAGTGTGACGAATGTGCATGTGACAATATGGTTTACAAAGTTTCTTGCAGAATTCAATTCCTAATGTTAACCAAGAATCCAAAGAAAGTTGGTCATTTTTGTTTCTCTTTCAGTCTCTGGTCTAGTGGAGTCAGACCCAGAGTACAGACTGATCGTTGCAGCCAATAATCTCACAGTGGAGATCGACAACGAGCTCAGTGAGTTGGCTGTTCCTGCTTAATAAAAAGAAAACCCACTTAAAATGTAAAGGGTTGTTTGTGTATCTGCTCTGTATAACAAACCTTTGTTCTGGGTTTCAGATATCATTCACAAGTTCACTCGGGACAAATACTCCAAGAGGTTTCCAGAGCTCGAGTCTCTCGTGCCAGATTCTCTAGATTACGTCCGCACAGTCAAGGTGAGATGAGATGTTTAGTAAAGCCACATTTGACCCCTGAAAGCAGTCATGTTGATTAAATTAATATATTAACCTCATGGGTTATAATAATGATTATTTCAACATATGGCCGCCCACAATACCCTCAAAAATGATCATTTACACCCAAGAAAATTTACATTATATGTAAAGGCAGACTTAATTGTAATACTTCTCATATGTGGTTTGAGCTTTCCAAATGTGTTCCATTTCAATGACTTGCTTTATATGAAATCAAATCTTAACTCGGATATTTTTTGTACTTTTAACCTATTTTATGCATTTTCTCCTAAAGCTTGATAAGTACCATGCAAATAAAATATTATGATTTCTGTTACTTGCTCAGGAATTGGGAAATAATCTGGAGAAGTGCAAGACCAATGAAACTCTGCAGACAATCCTCACCAACGCCACTATCATGGTGGTCAGTGTCACAGCCTCGACCACACAGGGGTGAGTCGGCACACCTCTGGTTCATCAAAAATAATGGCGCCCCTCCACAGGACATCTGAGGGTCACAGTCTCCGTACAATGCTTATTGACATGTTTACATGTGTGTTTTTAGGATACTCCTTAGTGACGATGAACTGCAGCAACTGGAGGAATCGTGTGACATGTCTCTGGAGCTGAGCCAGTCCAAACTCAGGATCTATGAATATGTGGAGTCCAAAATGTCATTCATCGCCCCAAATCTGTCCGTCATTGTCGGAGCGTCAACAGCTGCCAAGATCATGGGTGAGCGATGCAGAAAGATTCATTTTAGATTCAAATAATTTAGTTGAATAAATAGTATAACAGATTATTCTATGGTCCATGTTATCTATCCAAAAAATAACATTGAGGTGATTTCTCTTGGCTGCAGGTATTGGAGGCGGCCTGACTAACCTCTCCAAGATGCCCGCCTGTAACCTGATGCTGCTGGGCGCTCAGAGGAGGACGCTGTCTGGCTTCAGCAGCACCTCCCTGCTGCCCCACACCGGCTACATCTACCACTGTGATGTGGTGCAGTCACTGCCACCCGTCAGTACATATAGCAACATTAATGTATTGCAGTTTTTTTTCTGCATTTAAACTGAGCAAGTGGGACCTTGTTGTTAACACCTGTCTTCCATTTGTGTCTTCAGGACCTCAGGAGGAAGGCCGCTCGTCTGGTGTCTGCTAAATGCACCCTGGCTTCCCGAGTGGACAGCTTCCACGAGAGTTCAGACGGCAAGGTGACTGTCAGACTCGACCACATGCACAATAATACTGAAAGAAGGATGTGTAAATCGGCATACATTCTCAATATGTTCTTAACCCCAAAGAATATCTACCCAAACCTTATCGTACACTGTTGTGGTTTTTTGTAAGAAAATAAATCTGACTCCTGGTGTTTTCTGTCTTATTTTTTTGCAGGTTGGCTACGATCTCAAAGAAGAAATAGAGAGGAAGTTTGATAAATGGCAGGAGCCTCCGCCAGTGAAGATGGTCAAACCGCTGCCAGCCCCGCTGGACGGACAGAGGAAGAAGAGAGGAGGAAGGAGGTACACATCCTTTCAGCTGCTCTGTGAACTGGCTGCAGATTTAGAGACGAGTGGAGTGTAATATGTAGATATGCAGCTTGGCGTCAAAATGCATTCATTTCTGCAGCCTTTCATTTAAAGTAGGACATTTTGAGCCACCAACAGGGGAGCAAAACTGAAAGCAGGAAAGCTTACGTAACCTGCTCTGCCAAGTTTAGATGCCAGCATCCCCTCAACATGTTTAAATATAGCACACCAACTCTCCACTGTTGTCTCTTCTCCTGAAGGTATCGAAAGATGAAGGAGCGTCTCGGACTGACTGAGATCAGGAAGCATGCTAACAGGATGACCTTTGCAGAGGTTTGTAGATCATGCATCCTTTCTCGTATTACTTGTTTAGCCTTTGTGCCCTATGCATTTTCAGTGTAGTTAATTTAAGGAAATGATCGGTTCAGTAGTAATAGTGTGACCCGTTGAAGTTATTTGGCTCTCTTCTCAAGGGATGCACCGAACATCACGTTGAATAGTCTTCTCGGCAAGCATCTAAATAAAAACACAGATTCAAAAACTTGAGTTTCTGAGAGGATGAAGGCTAAAAGCAGATTGCCTTGCTTCTTCTTTCATCAGTTTATAAACACAAAAACAGAAACCAAAGAGAAACATGGCAAACCTCAGTAACAATACGAGTTTCATGTTTTCAGATTGTTGTCCTCGCCAAAATGCTAGCTTTTGCTTCTAAATAAAAGTGTGTCTGAAGAAGAGCAGTCTTGAATTAAATTAATTTTCTCAGGAATTGCGTTTTGTAACTTGATTTCAATATTTATGTTAATTCCAAAAAAGCAAACGTTTGCATTGAAAAAACAAATAATAAGACTTTTCATGACAAACTAAGCTGCTATGACTGACGACATTCATATACTATGATATCTTTGTTTATGACCTTTTCATAACCTATGACTTTTTGGAATTATACTATAACTTTCTTAAAGGTGCAATTCACTTCAGAAACACTTTTTGTTATATTCCATGGAATGCTCTTAACATCCCGATAGCAATGAATATATTAAATGCTTTAACAATAAATACATACAAACATTTCATCTGTGGAAGCCGTGGCGCTGTAAAAAGCACGACCAATCATCTGTCAGCCTTCCATCTCGTGCACAAACTTATCTCGTGCCCTCATTGGTCATGTGTGCGTTCGTGTGTGTTGGAGGAGGGGCTCTATAAGGAAGTCTGAAGGAAGGGGCAGATTTTTTCCGGCTGCATACTTTCAAATTCTAGCGCACTCGAGCTGGTTTCTCCATTCTTACCTACCCTACCTTTAAAGATGTTCTTTTTTTGTATAACATACTACACTATGACATTTTTATATTTACACAAAAAAACAACGTTACTATGACATTTGAGCTCTTTTCATAACATGCTATACTATGAGTGATTTATGTTTTAGTTTTTTCCCTCAACATTTGATTGACATTACCATGACTCTTTATGAAGAAGCATAAACAAACTGAGTGTTTGAGCTTGATATTTGATGATGTTTTGCAGATTGAGGATGATGCCTACCAAGAGGACCTGGGCTTCAGTCTGGGTCAGTTGGGGAAGAGCGGCAGCGGGCGCGTCCGGCAGGCTCAGGTCAACGAGGCCACCAAGGCCAGGATCTCCAAATCCCTCCAGGTAAACTCATCCATGGTTCACTTTCACTCCTACAATGACAAGCTGCTTTTTTTCCTGTCTTTTTTAAGTCTGCATATTCTTTTGTTGCACACTACAGAGGACGTTGCAGAAGCAGAGCATGACGTACGGAGGAAAGTCCACCGTCAGAGACCGCTCCTCAGGGATCAGCTCCAGTGTGGCGTTCACTCCTCTCCAGGTAAAGAGTTCAACACTTCTTTGATTTAACATCCCTGAACAACGTCCTGATTGAATTCACTTGACTAACGCTGAGCTCTTCTCTGCAGGGGCTGGAGATCGTGAACCCAGGGGCTGCGGAGAAGAAGGTGGCTGAAGCAAACCAGAAGTACTTCTCTAACATGGCGGAGTTCCTCAAAGTCAAGAAGGAATCAAAGATGTGAATACACACACACACACACACACACAATCATCCTGCACACGGACAGTTGCGCTCAACACTGTAAAGCGATATTTTCAACATGGTTTGACATTGTGCTTCGTCCTGTATTTCGTTTTTACTTTTTCCATTTGAATAAAAACATAAAAATGTAACTAAGTGTCCTGCCTGCCTTTTCTAGAGAAGGAAAGAATATGCTTTTGCTAAATCCCACGAGTAAATGCATACTTTAAAGGATAAACCATTAGCTCGACGTTGGTCTTGATACTTGCCTAGCACATTTGCTAAATCTATGCCAAGTGCATTTCAAATCAGTGTAACATAATTAGATCTATAGGACTGACAGGACTTAACACCACACACTGACTTGTCATTTCTTAAAAGTATTTATTGAAATTGTACAATCCTGTTTATAACCCCGTTTTATGACATCTCCCATGCAGAACTGTGATGAGGAAAAATGGTAAATAAGTCTTGAAATTCACATTTTTTTTAGCAATTTCTTAATCGACCATCCCTTTCTGAAAACCTTAAAAGCCCCAAAAATAGAATCTATAAAAGGCAAATCTCTCATAACTTTGCTCTTTTTTTCAATCCAACCCCCCTCTACCCCTCCCTCCCCAAAACTCATCACACTAGCGGTGCTTTTAACTGCAGCACAGATCTTGAGTTTTCATGGTTGCTTAACTGGAAAAATCTGATTCAGTTCAACACTCCCTGTTCAAACTGCCAAGAAAAGTGAGATCTGTCGCAGCAGATTACATCTACTTGTTCTGCAGTGTAGAACGTGAGACACTTCTTACTCCACACATACGTTAAATCTACCCTCAGATTTAGGATGTCTGTGTTTCTCTAAATGTAAACAGCTTGAGTGCACATTCACTGGATAAGGAATTACTTAAAATAACAGGTATTAAATTAACAAAGTGAATTTAAGGATGACGAACAGAATGAACTAAAGGTGGGAAGTTGACTCAAACCAAACTCAGATGTATTTTCTAACTCTGTATTTTGAGAGTGATTAATAGGTGATCGGGAGACCGTACATTCACTACGGTTAGCGTGGCCTTTTGTACAAATCAAACATCACGTAGATAAATGTCTCAAACCCTATTTTAAGATTTATTTTACAAGTTTATTTGTTTGTCACAAACATGAAAGCGCCATAATAATGCATTTTTCTTTGACAGGTTAACTTAAAAACATTTTATTTGTAAAGAGGGAGCCAGAGACCAGTTCAATTGCATAGCAATTTAATCCATGTCCAATAAGGACTCTTTCCCTGTCACAGGGAGAGGCCCTGTGGTCACTCTCAATCAGCGTTTAAATCGACCAAGACAATATCAATAAAAACTATTGATAACCGCTCACTATCTCTAATAGGGACCATATTCAACAGGCATCGTAGGGTCTTAAAAGAAGCCAGTCCTACACACCATGACTAAATGTCCACTGTGCCTCCCCGTTTAAACCACCAAATTACAGTAAATACAATATGGGCAGTTTGTTTTGTGTCAAGTCAAAGGCTTCCAGGCTCATGTGGGGTAGGTGGTACAGAGAATCTTGTTGAAACGGAAAAATAAAACAAAACATGAGAAACATGCATGGGGTAGGCTTTCCTAATGCCACATACTGAGTGTGCACACAGACAGGCCCAAACGCAGATCTCCAGTGAGAGCCCCCCTTCTCTTGCAGCGCGATGCATTTGATCAGACCCACAGGGCATTTTTGTCAAAACCAAAGCGCTACAGAAGGAGTGAGGGCTCCACGTAGAGATGCAGCCTATACAGACGCCAGTCTCCATGTTGGGAGAGGGTTTCTACTACACATCACAATCTCTATCCACAGTTTGAAGTTCAGTCTCGGAATGTCAACAGCAGCACGTTTTGTCTCTCTGTCCTTTCGTGTCCCATTGTCCGTCACTGCAGGTCTCTGTCTTCCAGGTACCTGTACTCGAAGGTGAATCCCTCCTTCTTCCTCTGGCCCCATTTCTCATAGTCAAAGTAAATGTAAGTGCCCTGGAGGAACAGCAGAGAAGAAAGAGCAATCATTCAAAAACTGACAACAAAATGACCTAGTTTATTATTTCAGGAGGAAATGTGAACACAAAGCTCCTATTTGTGCAAAGCATGGTTTTATTCAATTGTAGGTGATGCAACAAACATATTTGACCAAAGCTGGCCTCTAAGATTGAACAAATATCCTATTGATCTGCGATTTGATGTCAATAGGCCTCTGCCAAAATGATTTGTCCATTCTTGTTTATCTTATTTATCAAACTGATTTCTCAAACTCTTAAGTCTGTAATCAGCTGACCACGTTTCTGAAGTAGAAGACTGATCCTGTGGAAATCCCTTAAACTGTGTTGTACACATTGGATTTCAACTTTTTCTTCAAGTAAGACAAAAAAAAAACCTTTCTTAAAGGCATTTCTCAAGTACATCTAGATTTCTATGTTTTCAGATTTCCCAACTTGATTCATTTTGACGGTTTGTTGATACAAGATTTGTTTAAAGAGTAGAGGCACAACACTGATGTGCTGTTTCTCATCCTCAAGTGTTTTTCCAGTTTGCTTAATTCCCTGCTGGTAGTTGCATTTGTTATTGATCCTGGTCAGGACGCATGTGTTTATAAAATATGTATTTGTTCCTTGATGGCACTATAAAAGGTTACATGTGTTCTTATTTGATACAAACCTTGTCTATTCCTGCAGAACCCAATTTAAAAAAGGTTTCAAAAGAAACGTGTGAACTTTGTTGATTCTGCACCTGTTCAAACTCATCAGTGATAGTCTTGGGCTCCTCGTGCCTCTGGAACCACATCATGTACTTTGTGTGAAACCTCCATGACTGTTTCTTCAGAGCCTTGGCAGATAGATACTGAGCCTTGGTGCCCTGAGAGAGGGGGGGGGGGGGTCAAACACAACATCAAGCTTGCATCAAGACTTTAATAACCAACAGGAAGGTTGTCGGGGAGCAAACACGGAGCGGGGGGGGCAGAGTGTTTTACCTCCAGGTAGTAGAAGATGAAAAAGAGAGTTTCTGTGGACAGTCTCTGGTAAAACTCAATGGAGTCAGAGTGGTGCGGTGGTATCTGATGGTGGAAGGGTAGTGTGGGACACGGATTCCTCATCAGGTATTGCCTTTAGGACAGAAGCACAGATATCAAAGTCAACTTTATTGTCAATCTTCCAGTTGGTGTGTACAGACAGAGAGAGGGATCGAAATACCGTTTCCCACAATCCCGAATATAAAAACAAATGTATATAAATATGTGTGCAATATGTAGATCTATATATATACACAGTCAAAGACACATTTTACATGTGCACACATTAAAGATGGGGTAGGTAAGTTTGAGAAACCGGCTCGAGATACACTTTTTGTTATATTCCATGGAATGCTCTTAACATCCGATAGCAATGAATATCTTAAAGTGGACCTATCATGCTATATTTGAATAATATATTGTAGGGCCATACGTATATTTATACGTTTTCTTTTTCAAAATACCAAACAGATCATGCATTTTAGCCATGCCTCATTTCGCTCTATTTTGCTTTCCTCCTGTCCAAAAAAGCAAACGTTTGCATTGAAAAAACAAATAAGACTTTTCATGACAAACTAAGCTGCTATGACTACTGACGACATTCATATACTATGATATCTTTGTTTATGACTTTTTGCATGCGCTGAGGTGATAAAAGCTCAGTTCAAATGTATGGGATAAAAAATTGTTTTAAATCATAGTTAAAGTGGACTTATGCTATTTTTAGGCAATAGCATAGGTCTCAGATATATAAAAAACATGTCTATGAAGTGTTTTGCTCAAAATACCAAACAGATCACCCATTCTAGCCATGCCTCATATCCCTGTTTCACTTCCTGTTTCAAAAGTGCTGATTTTGGGAATAAAGCTTTAAAAAAAATAAAGAATTGATAAAAAATAAAAAAGGAGGGGGCTGAGCTCACATGGGACCCGTCAGTTACTGTCTAAACTAAATACTGCCGTGATGAAACGCCATATCATGGATTATCAAGGACTGTTTCTGAAACAGTATGGAGCTCAAAGGCTTTCTCTCATGCCGGTTATACCACAAGGTGAGTTCCTTTTTATTTCCTGCTTCTTCACACACATGCTCTGTGCAGTACAGGTTAGCTCTGAGTGTTAGCGATGCTAATGTAAACATGCACCGACCATATTACGTCCAAAACAGTCGGGCATTGTTTCAACGTTTCTGATAGGGCCGTGGGTGTAAAGCCAGCCTACATTTCCGATATTACGTCATATCGGACGCAAATCTGGATCAGCTCCGTTGTAGCCCCGTTTTTAGAGATTTGGGTACGGAGGAAAAGAGAGAGGGTTTTATTTTCTGATGCTGCGTGAGTTCCCTGACACACCGGAGACACATATTTATGTATAAAAGACATCAAAAAGTGCATTTGGCATGATAGGTCCCCTTTAAGTAGGTCATAAAAAAGGCATAGTATCTATCACTTGTCAATAAAGAGAAACCCTGCGTCATCACTGTGTGTGAAATGCTTTGTCCTCACCTGATCCTCTCCGAGTCCGAGGGGTGGGGCATGTGCGTCCATGCTGACTCCTGCATGGCCTGCTGGTAGAGCTGGTCTTTGGGGAGGGGGGTAGGGCCGAGGGGACAGACCCCTAGCGAGGGGGGAATGCTGACTTCCGACACGGACGGCTGAGGGGCGGCAGGTGTGCCGGGCGCCGCAGACGAACTAGAGAAGATATCTGGAGGAAGAGACGTGAAGGATTGAGAGGACAGAACACACTGAAGCAGATCACTGTCACACTCCTGCTTCCTCTTGATGTAGGAAATGGTTTAATAAACAAGTACATATATTATAATAATATTTGTTACCTGCTTTGTATTTGTTTATATATTTATATTCAATATATTTTCCATATCAATACGTTTTTTTTCATTTATATCTTACATAACTGTTTTAGCTCTGAAAAGGTTTTGATCCATCCAAGTATTCATCTCAACATATTTACAGCTTTTAAACAATCATTTTCATTATTGACTGAACTTGAACCTTGTTTTGATTTAATCATTAGATTAAAAAGGTAAAAAAGTAGTAATGATGTCTTAAAAACATCTACTTATTATTTTACTTGGTCTGCAAATGAT